AGTGTTTCTGTGTGCGTCTGTGGGGGTGGGCGTGGAAAGACGCATCGCCCCCTCCAAAATCCAAATAGCACGATTGGAAGAAAAGGTTGGAAAAAACGTTTAAATTGATGAACTATCGCGAAGAAACAGTTCACCCCCTCCCTCTTATCGATAAATGCATTATCACGAATCACCCAGACGTTTTCGTTTCCTTCTTCATAAATAATGAATTATACATTTATTGGATGAATTATCAGCTGGCGAGAAGAACAGGCTGACACGCCGTCCATTATTTATTTATTCTATATTTAGTTATTTATTGGTATCTATTTATTGGCATCTGACTGAGCAGAAGCACAGGCTAAAAGGGTAATTTTACGATAAAATATACGTAAAGGTCTTTTTGTTATACTTAACATTATAGATGATAAAGATAAATTATGATAACAATAAGAAATGCAGTACAGGCATGAGAAACAGAATACACATAAGCATCGAGTTATTTCAAAAGGATACATGATGCTATTGGGGCAGGCATTGGAATTGAATTTTGAAACGAACTAGTTTGAAGGTTTTCTGAATTTTGGAACGAAATATGTAGATATTTGTTTAAACCTGAGCAATATTAACTAACCGAAAAAAACCTGCTGGAAATCAAGTTTTATCTTTTAATAGTTTTTACATTTTGAAGACTGTTTCGTATGATTATGTGAGAATTTTATTCTCGTCATTATCAGAACTTTAGAGCCCCTCTAAAGTGTTGGGAGCCCAACAAATTTGATGGCAAAATTTCACTTAAATGACATTTCTGCAAGGATTCTCAAAACAAATGTGTTTGAAGTCGAATATTGATGAACGAGTACAAAATTTAGGTTTTCTGCGTACAACAGAAAACCCAAATTATGTTTTCTTTGATCAATATTATTTTGTATTCAAACACATTTTTTTAGGGGAACTTGAACATTTGCAGAAGTGTGTCATAAATGACATCCCTTTTACATTAAGATACTATCAAATTCTTGGCGAATGTGGGGCTCCTAACACATTAGAGGCTTTAACATTCCATGACGCCAAAAGAACTATGTCACACTATGGTGACTGAGCAGATATTCGAAGTTACTAGTCTATGATGCTATTTTAAGAGAATTTGATGATGATTTGTTTTCCTACCCGCCGAGAGCGTTATGTAGTATTGCTACTTTGTGTTAGGTCAAATGTTTAATCATAGCGAAAGAAAGTTGTAGAGGGGAGAGGGGAGGGGAAAGAGAGAGGGAGGGAAAGAGGGAAGGACTGTGGATGAGAGAGAGAGAGAGAGAGAGAGAGAGAGAGAGAGAGAGAGAGAGAGAGAGAGAGAGAGAGAGAAACTAAGGCCATTGTCTCAGAAAAATACAAGATGATTTGACATGGGTATAACAAATTATAACAATTACAAGGGAATGACAATTAAGTCCATGCTATCAATGATTTGAGTATTAAGAAACTGTCCTTTATCAACCGTGATTATGTCCATTACAATATATTGATATTGAAGGAAGTAATTAAACATGGAAATGACTTCAAAGAACGTGGAAGTATTTAGTATTCAATAACATTCAGTAACTTCAAAAGCCATCAATTATTATTAATATCCTTCTGAAGGATATTAGAACCCCGCGTACTTAGTATGTGTAGTAGGCGTACTTTTTTTCTCTCTATGTATACGATATTGCCCGGTAACTGCGAAATCGAGTTATGAAATTATAATGAAACGGATATTTCTACCCCAAAGAGCGAAGCATAAAAACCACACCGCAAAATGATAATATGAAACATATTCGAGACTGTTTCGAAAGCTGGACGAGTCCATTATATTTAGACGCATGTGATGATGATGATACAGCTACCTAGCGGTGTATACAAGACAGTTGGGGCTCGCTGGAGGAATGCACAGGCGCCTATTTCTCGGATCAAGTTGGTGTAAACTCACTATAATTATGGTAACGCTCTGATAATACATCAATAACATGTGAATCCCGTGTTTACCAACTTGGACCTGTACTTCTCCAGATGGTTTTCGTATCACACGGTTGTCTTTTTATAGCCAATGATCGACAAAGCATCTGTTTGAAACAATTTTTTTGAATATGTCGTCTGCAGCTGCAACTATCGTGTAATCTATGCAGAGTGGAGTAACCCGTACCTATAACAGGTGAGCACGTATCTTGCTTGGTAGACTTAACGCCCGGGAAAGTCCCCGTGGGGATCATCGCGGTGCATGGGTCGCTCTGGCTGGCAGAGACTTGGGCCGTTGGGGGTAAGGGACTCTAGATTGTGCTATGATGGATTTATGCAATATTCATGATTTCTCTTTACTCATCCAGTTTTTTGTTGTTCGCTACTGAGCTGTGATACCATGTGAGTCTGTGCTAGCTGTGTTGGAACCATCTGCTGTTGTGTGAGATATGTTTTTGTAATGGCAATTGGGAGACTTGAAAAGTTTGCAGGCTTTCTGCAACAAGGCCAATGTGTATATATGATGATAGTTTTGCTGGGTAGTAAAATTCTTTGAATTTGAAAATGACTCAATATCTTGTTGAATTAAAATCATAAAGAGATATGTACAAGAAGGAGATTTAATAGTTGAGTCAATGTAATACATATGTTGTTCATATCAACCTTTCTTCAGTGTTGGTCACATAGTCTGAGATATATAGGCCTTGTATAATTATTCCATTTGATAACAACCATTATATGCATGTAGAATTAATACTTTTCTACATTTAACTTAAAGGATTAGAGATCATTATCGTAAACGATGTGTTAGATCTATGCCATTGTGTATATATTTAGGAACATGTGTATGCACCCAAATTTCAATATATCATTTATTTTTCTTGTAGGTTAGTTATCTTTGACAATATCTCAAAAGGTTGTTATAATGATGTATGAGCATACATGTAATCAAAAGGAATACATAATTTAATTTAAAAAAATTGTAATTATTCTTTATCAAAACACAGATATGCAACTTGAGACATTTATATGACATTCTAATTTATAATTATGAGAATGATACAAATGTCTCAAGTTAAAACTTTGCTGTCAATATGTTTCTTAAATGTTTTGCACAAAGCAATCCTTCCATGTGCCCATTGTTTGCAAAATAGCAAACGTAGCAAACAAGCAACTGTGCAGGGAGGCGAAGGAAGCAACAGAAGTGTTAATCAGTTAACTCCATCCACTCCATTGCTTGATGATTGAAGATATTAATCGAATGCAACCCTTGTAATCCAGCCTTGCATGTTACTGGTGCTGGGATGTCGGAAGGGATGCGAGCATGGCATATGTTCCCTAGAAAGTGATTTATTGGCAATTATTTTATGCAAACAGTGGATAAACAGATCCATCATTGGCTTTTTCCTGAGTTCATATGGACAGAGTTCGACCAGGACACATATTTCATAGAAATGGATGGTTGGGAGAGAAACAGTAATTAGTGTTCGTATAATCATGGATCTACGTAGGTCCATGGTATAATTGCGTATACTGTTGTTGTTGTTGTTGTCTGTGAGGGAAATGGTAGCCTGTAAAAGAGCCAAGGACTTTTATTATCACAAATATGTATCATAACATTCAATGTCAACAAGATGCACAAGAGAAGAGGGAGACTCAGAGAGAGAGAGAGAGAGAGAGAGAGAGCAAGGGAAAGAAAAACAGGAGAGAGAAAAGGAGAAAGAAAGAGAGATAGAACAAAGGAGGGTAAAGAGGGAGAAAGAGAGATATAGTGAGAGAGAGAGATAGAGAGAGAGAGAGAGAGAGGGGGAGGAGGGAGGAGAGAGAGAGAGAGAGAGAAAGAGAGAGGTGGAGGGAGAGGGGATAGAGGGACACAGTATAATCAGGCCCTTCATATTGTTTAGAGAAGTAAACAAAGATACTATAAAACAATATATACATGCATACATTTAGCATTACATGTATACAGTTTCAAGTTTCTGTTTATGATTGAATTCAAAATAATTAAATTTGAATTAAATACTATAAACACTGATTTTCTTTCCAATGAAATCTCTATCATCATGTTTCTTGTGACAGATTAGTGTATGGATAAAGAAGTCATTTTATGTTAAGGAAGTTTATATTCAATTAAACTTGACAGTGGTAAACAGAGAGCAAACAGATAAATCATGGAGTTCTGCTTGTGGATACAGTTCACACAGGGCTCATATTTTATAGGGCAGTTTCAACTATTTATAGAGAGAACTTGCAATTTGTATTCATGTAATGTGCACATTTTAGTGTTTCATGGAATATCCTAAAAAAGAGTGCTGTCCTACGTCAGTTACATTATACAGTCAGGACTTAGGAGCATGCATCGCAGAAGATGGGAAACATGTAGGAGGATGGATAGATATAGGAATATATTGAAAGAGAGAGAGAGAGGGGGAGGGAGGGGGGAATAAGGTAGAGAGGAGCGGAAGAGAGGAAGAGAGAGTGTCTGATAGAGAGAGGGGGAGAGGCAGAAGAAAAGAGAAGAAAAAAGAGAGTGGGTAATACAAGAGAGAGAGAGAGGAGAGAGAGAGAGAGGGAGAGAGAAAGAGAGAGAGAGTGAAAGGGAGGGAGAGAGAGACAGACAGAGGAAAGAGAGAAAGAGAGAGAGAGAATAAGAGAGAGAGAGAGAGAGAGAGAGAGAAACAGAGAGAGAATGGAGAAAGAGGGGAATAGAAGAATAAAGAAATAGAGAAGAATGGAGTAATAAAGAAGAAAGTGCTGGAAAGCAAGAGAGAGGGAAAGACTTTGGACAACAGAAAAATGATTGTGAGAAATGTGGAAGTAGAGGTTCAGAGAGAAGAAAAAAAAAGAAGGAAGAGAGATTGAAAAGGCAATGACGGGGGAGAGGATGACATGTCCATGAAGAGATGGAGATCTGAATTTCCATCATTTCGGGGTAAGGATTCAGAAGTTCTTTGATATATCTTTCTTTCAGATCAGAATTTTGAGCAAAGACCGACCTACACTAGGACAATGTCAGCACTCTGCTGCAAGGTGGTATGAAGCTTATTGATAAGATGGCAAGTTGCAGTGTTACTCTGGAGCAAAACCATCCAAGAAGCCCTTGCATTATAATCTCAAAAGGTAAGCCATTCAATAATAATCATAATGATAATAATAATTATATTAATTATGATAATTGGATTTACGTGGCCTTTTCCAGAGGATACAATGCGCTTTTCCTAGCCTAAGGACATTTTAAAAATTGGAGAGGTATTTTTCCAGATGTTTCAAAAGAAGTTGATTAAAGTAATGTATTTCCTAGGAATGCAATCAAGATAAAAAAGTAACACATATAGTCCCTTTTTTAGGGGGGGGGGGGGGGTAGCCACAGGTAGGGTAACGATTTGTACTGATAGTGAACAAACAACAAGCCATCCTCTCCTCTGCATCACATCTGTTGAAAGTCTCATTTTGTTCCTCCTTTTCGAGCCCAAGGTATGATAATACGCCAACAACTGTTTGTACTATACTGGGAAGAAGAAGAGAGTAGGCGAGAGACCTAGACACCATGGTTAACCTTTGACCTTTAAATCTTTACCCTTTAACCTTTTAAACTTTTACAGCATCAAACAAGCCATTCTCTCCTCTGCATCACATCTGTGAGCAGTCTCATTTTGTTCCTCCCGATGAGAGTAGGAGAGAGAGAGAAACACGATAGAAACCATGGTTAACCTTTGACCTTTTAACCTTTTAACTGTTACAGCATCGAACAAACCAGCCTCTCCACTGCATCACATCTATGAGCAGCCTTGTTTTGCTCCTCCTGATGAGAGTAGGAGAGAGACGATAGAAACCATGGTTAACCTTTGACCTTTAAACCTTTACCCTTTAACCTTTTAACTGTTGCAGCATCAAACAAGCCATCTTCTCCTCTGCATCACATCTGTGAGCAGCCTCATTTTGTTCCGCCCGATGAGAGTAGGAGAGAGACGATAGAAACCATGGTTTGTCAGAAGACAGAATCCGATCAGCTTCTTGATACAATCCCGGAAGAAACTACTGAGGTAGGTCTGACTCATAGATATATAATACATGGCTGCATAGGTGCACACGTGCATGACCTGATAGTTTTAAGCTCCACCCCACTTTAACTGAATAAGGAATATCATTAGGTTCCACCATTTTGACCGAATATCATTTGGGTTCCTCTTTACTTAAACCACAGGGATTGCAGTCTTTTCACTCTTCATTCTTGTATGGGCCGACACCTATTTGTGCATCCTGTAATTGAAATTCTTAATTGAAATGTAATGAATGTAGTATGTTTACTCAATTTATTGTTCCTGTATTTCCTTGCTGCCTATAGCTATCACCTAGTAAAAATAGCAGACATCAAATGTGATTTAAAAAGGCAAAATTATTTTACCGTGATGGGAAGTTTGTTTGGCCTATTATGATAATGTGAAATTGTGGTGTGAATTCAGATATAGGGGCCATTTTTATTTACATATTGACTTTAAAATGTGTACTTTATATGCAATATTTAATAATTTTTCCAAGTTTTCTTTGTTAAAATTGAAGAGCATATGATTTAGAATGTACAATTCCTTTTATTGTACTGGGTTACTCGTGTCTTTTCTTAGTCAGTGATGTGGAAATGTTTGAAATCTTGTAAATTTTGTGTTTGGTGGCACAATACTGTTGTCTTCCTACAAGCAATGATGTGATTTAAGTCATTGTGAAAAATATTATGAAAAGATTTACAAAACCTTGTATGACATATAAAGCAAGCATGAAGTATTCCACATAATCTTTAGCACAATGTAACTGCAAGCTATATTTAAATATATATTTTGTCCAATTTTGAATACAGCTATCCCCAGCCAGGGAAGGGAATGATAACCAGAGTCTTGTCACCTCAGAGGCTGTCGTTTGTACTAAAACAGAATCAGATCACCTTCTTGAACCACTACCAGAAGGTATTGCAGATGTAAGTCATCTTTTCCTTCACTTTCTTTACTGTAATATAGTTGTTCACTCTTTGACTCAAGATATTTGTTACCATGCTACAGGATTATTATCTTTCTCTGATATACATCTCTCTGTGGAGTAATAGATGATAATTCAACGGTTTGGAAACAGAATGGTGTTTACTCATATATCTACACAAAGAATGAATAATGCCATTCTGGCTCTGAACGAAAAGAGGTATCAATTTTTTATCAATGTAAAGAGGTTAAGATTGGTCAATCAATCAATCAGTTGAGAGAGAGGTAGAGAAAGAGATAGAGATGGAGGGAGAGAGAGAGAGAGAGAGAGGGGGGGGGGGGAGAGAGAGAGAGAGAGAGAGAGAGAGAGAGAGAGAGAGAGAGAGAGAGAGAGAGAGAAGGGGGATGTTGAATAAGTATTTCACACAGAATCAATCCTAAATTATATTTATCTAAATGTATGTTTTGTTTAACTTTGAAATCACCCAATATTAAGTCTGTTTGAGTCTTCCTATGAGCAAAAAGCCTTTTTGCCTTCCTGTGTGTTGAGGCTTTTAATGAGATGATTGATAATCATGCCTATAGAGTATAGACATTGGAAAATCAATCTACACTTTTAATTTACATTTATTTTGTCCGTGACCATTGCAGGTTTGATATGTATGAAAATATCTTTAAGTGATTCTCATGCAGCTCATTTTCTCTTAAAATATAACTATGATATGTTTCTCATTTTGGGGTTGTTGTGTGATATATCAACATTTACTAAAGAAATTGTAAAGCATTTATCAGTGGTGATTCATAAATGGAGTTCTTGCGGTATCATCTTCTGGTATTAGTCATCTTATTTACCCTTGATAAATCAATTATTGGATTCAATAAATAGCAAGCTAAGTCAACCTCTAAAAAAAGAAAGAAAAAGAAAAGGAGATGGAGAGAAGGTTTATGAATGAAATTCAATTTCCTTTTCTGAAGAGTGGAAGTGCAATGTGAGAAGGCATATCAATCGCTCAGAGCCAGAAGGCCGTTAAATTATATACTCTAACAGAGAGTTAACGCCCTTCTGGCTCTCAACGGACGATATATTGAAATCTAAACAAATCAGAAAGCCGGAGTTCCTCCGTACCGTACTACGGTGCAACATCCGATGATTGAAGGAGTCAGAGGTGTGATATATTACAAACTTAGCACCTAGAAGGAAGCGTCCTGGAAAATGAGAAATGTGCAGGCAGCGTTCAGGCCAGTCATCTCCTCGATTCAGTTCCGAGTTCAGATGTTGGGGTGTGTTCATACTGGAAGTATATTTGTTTTGTTGGAAAATGAGAAATGTGCAGGCAGTGTTCAGGCCAGTCATCTCCTCGATTCAGCTCCGAGTTCAGATGGTGGGGTGTGTTCATACTGGAAGTATATTTGTTTTGTTGGAAAATGAGAAATGTGCAGGCAGCGTTCAGGCCAGTCATCTCCTCGATTCAGCTCCGAGTTCAGATGGTGGGGTGTGTTCATACTGGAAGTATATTTGTTTTGTTGGAAAATGAGAAATGTGCAGGCAGCGTTCAGGCCAGTCATCTCCTCGATTCAGCTCCGAGTTCAGATGGTGGGGTGTGTTCATACTTGAAGTATATTTGTTTTGTTGGAAAATGAGAAATGTGCAGGCAGCGTTCAGGCCAGTCATCTCCTCGATTCAGCTCCGAGTTCAGATGTTGGGGTGTGTTCATACTTGAAGTATTTTTGTTTTGTTGGAAAATGAGAAATGTGCAGGCAGCATTCAGGCAGCGTTTAGGCTAGTCATCTCATGGATTCAGCTCCCAATTCAGACGTTGGGTGTGGGTGTGTTCGCACTTGAAGTATAGTGGATATATATCAAATGTTCAACAAACAAAAACAAAAAAAAATGTGCAGTAAGCATGCAAGTCAGTCATCAGCGAATCAAGTTAGGAATTTTAGGGTCAATTCAAGTCAATTCATACTGAGAGTAAAATGGATATATCAATTTTTGTTGGAAAGTAGGAAACGTGTAGTGGGAATGCAAGTCAAAGCATAGTGCTGAGATTAAGTAATTCTTTCAAAATCTTATGAACCCTGATTGAATTTGAGATAATGTAATGTAAGTGGCAGTTATATACTCAAATCTTTCAAGAAGATAATTTTGAATTAATGTGCTTTAGCTCTTAGGCAGGGTGTGAACACATCTTAAATCTTGATAAATTGTGAGGTCAAGGTCCTTGGTTGTGCTGTACCCCAAGGAAAGCAGGATTCTAGCTATGTTCACATGGGACAGTCAAAGTTTGAAACTTGCAGATTATAATTCATTAACGATGATGAGGGTTCAGGTGGGACCAAATGTCCCAGAAACCACCAGTATTTTAACAAAAAAATTAATTGTGTCCACCTGGCACATAGCTTCGAATGAGGACCCTTGTTGCTTGTAGTTATTGCACTAACCTTTAGATCACTAATGGTTTCCAACTTCAAGTATACTTCAAGTTTTGTAACCGCAAGTACATGTAGAACTACAAGAAAGCTTTTAAGTTTAAAACCACAACCTAAACTTAATGTTAATGGATTGCTGTGTGAACCTTACCGCTGGCTCTATACTAGAATCCTCACGCTTGAAATATTCACCAAAATCTTTTAACAATTTACAGCATAAAATTGCTCTTGAAAATTTGGCAGGCCTGCCTGGATGGTGGATGGTATTTAATTGATGAGCCGAGTAGGTCAATATTTACATGTACATGGAATGTGTAAATGATGAAAGGGTCCCTGGCATGTAACCTTAAATCATTGCCATCATTTCTTTGTTCGTTTGATCTCTATTGCTGTCTCTGTCTCTGTCCGCTCCCCTTGCATTTCTTTCAATCTGTCCTTCTTTCTCTTTATTGCTTTCACTGCCCCTTTTTGTTTTGGTTTGTGTGTATTCCTAAGTTTTTATTTCATGTTATTTTGTCATTTGGCTCTATTCTTTTCTTTTTTTGCAAAATATGTATAGCCTAGAGTTATATTCTTAAGTTTGTACATCTGTTCATATCATAGACTTAATTAGTTTGTCACCTTATAGTATAGCTATATGGAACTTCACTAAAGTAAAATGGTCTATTGATACTGGATAGTGCAAAGTAGTAACTTGTGAATCTTTTTAGGTCTATATATTTGCATGAGCACAGCATGTTAATATTATATAAGCTAGGACAGAAGGTGTTACAGCTTAGCCATCTTGCAGTCTACAGACACAAAGAAATATACAGCTATAAAGCCAGACTGTATGTCCATATTGATTTCATTCTTGGGTTGCAAAATGGCCTAATCAGCAGCCCCCTTTGAGTGGCCCAGCAATCCCGACCTGGAGGCAAGCCTTTGTCACTGATTGGCTCAATGATTGACTTCATTCTTCCCCTCAAAGCCTTCAATGGTGTGTGGTTCCACTATCACACGTACACTAAAATCAATAGGTGGGGCTGATGTAGCCGGCTCGCCTCATAGACTAGCAGCTCAGCTGTGTAATCTGCCAATAGAGGGGCAGAAAATCAATAACAATGATGATTTTAACATTCAAGTGCCACAACATTCATGGTGGTGAAGCTTAATGAATATTAATAGTACAGAACATGACATGAGAAGGCTCCATGTGCAAAACTTGACTGGACCATTAAAAATGTTCATAAATTCCAGTCTTTCTTGAGTTTGAATCACCATCAAGAGACTGGACAATATAAGCATCTAGTTTGTTAATTTCTTGAAATTCTTCATCATTCATTAAAAGTAACATGATATGAAAATAGTTCAGTAGACCAAGGTAGACCTTTAAGAACTTCATAAAAATACAGACTTTCTTGAGTTTGATATCACTATCAATAGCCCGGACAATAAGCAGCTAGTTTTTTAAGTCCTTATAATTCTACATAATTCATTGAGAGATATTTGGCCATGATAGGCCTTCTTAAACTGATAAATATACTCCATAGGATAATTTGCAAGCTCCCATGGTAGTTGTTACTATTTTTGTCTCATTTTTGTTGAGGTAAGTGAGTATCCTTCAAAATAGAAGACTTATAATGCTTCAGCTATCATAATCCCTTCAAAGATTTTGTGACACTTTTTTGTCTTCTCTTAGATCTTACTGATAAGAGATTTTTGTAATACCCAAAGAATGTGGCATATACGTGTACTTTTGAACAAAAGCATAATTTACATTTGACGTGAAGCATGATTGAATGAGGATCTTAAAGGTTTACTCACCTTCTAAAGAAATGCATTCATTGAAACATACCTGTGCTGTTGAAGCATTAATTTTAAGGTTAATTTTACTTGAAACCTTGAAGTGAGATGAAGAAGAATAAATCTTTTTCAGTACAAAATATATGGAAATACACAGATACCGGTAGGAATTTCATGAATGCAATTAGCATAAAAGATTAACATGAAGGTTGTATGTTGTCCTCTAGAATGTTTGCTAACCCTTGATGGATTTAAGAGAATATAACTTAATTCCCTTCTGGTTCCCAGCGGATGATTTGGGGATTACTCAGTTGAAATTCCCAATGTGAAGAGATTTTCAAATTATGGACTACCCAACAAACCTGTCTGTAAAGGTCACCTAAGGAAAACAGAAAAAGTGGCCACTGTAGGCAGGTGGCCTTTATAGAGAGGTGGATACTAAGACAGGTTCCACTTTAGTTTGTTTGAAGCATGTCAAAGATCTTTGAAACACAAGACTTCTGAAATTAATATGAGAAGCTCGTTTTTATCGCTATTGCAATGATTTTGAGACATTTCCCTCTTCTAAAAAAAAATATGATAATACCCTAGATTAGGGCAATATATATTACATTCTGGAAACATATTAGCAAGTCAAAGCGTATATGGAATACCCTACTCATACTACTTGCAGATACAATGCAATGCACACAAAACTTGAAAAAGCATTCTACTTGAGGAATACATAGAAATGCAGTATTTTGCCTTGAAGAAAACACCATTTTTGGAGTCTATTCTCATGTGTGAGATTTATTTGGGTGTAAGCGGCGTCTGAGCTA